GTGGTGCTCCGTCTCATCTATGTAAGGCCAACATATAGTTATGTGCTTTGGCTCTTGGAGCTCTCAGCACTCGGCAGAGTTTGAGGTTGGTGTCTGCCTGACTGTCTCTCAGTCTGTGGAGGGAGCTAAGGAACGACATAAGATGACGTCGTTTCGCTTCTATTAACGATACTATTTGTATGTTGGGCTTTTCAATAGGTTGCAATACTTTGGGCTTTTCGATCGTATGCAACATATTGGGCCTATCATTTATGTAAGGCCTGCATGCATTGGAGGTGCTTTGGGCCATGGCGGTTCTCAGCAGAACTCAGAACGGCACCAGATGAAGCCTTTTTGCATTTAACCGAAACCAAATAACCTTGTTTTCGTTTTGTGGCAAGGCGATTGTAGCTCAAGTAGTTAATAGCAGCCTCATACTCGATGTGCTGTGTTTGAATCCCGTCTTTTATAGAAGAAGACAAAAAGTCTAAGTGTAATTAAATCGCCATCTAATCGAATTGATTAATTATCCATGATCCCACCTAAGGGGTTGACTTGCGGCACTCTTTGAGGACACTGAAGGGGCATTGCCCTTGTGATGCGAGAGAAAAAGAGTTGACCTTTAATTGGCTTAAGCTCCAAACACATACAGATAGTTGCCCTGTCTTGTGCTCTCATCTCATGATCATCCACCAAAATCCTCAAATATCATCAGCATTGAAGTTTTCCTCTTTCCCAAAGAAAAATGAATCGGAACTTGAGTGCGTTTGTGATTGGATTAGTGGGTGCAGCAATGACCTTGTTTGCTTATTCTCAGACTCTGGTGTCTCCAAATCAGTCCATCGCAATCGGCCTCCTTGTTCTCATGTTCGGTTTGCTGATCAAGGAAGGTTTTATATCTCTGTAGCTCTCCCCTCCCCTCCTCTGTTTCCTCCTTTGCTTCCCTTTTTCGGGTTTCTAGTTGAATTATGTGATTTTGCTATCACTTTTTCTTATGTACAACTCCAGATGGAAATGTGTTTGATTGCTTATTATGGGCGGTGTTAATTTGTTATTGTTAATTCGGTAGGTAATTTTATTTGTTATTTTGTTGCCTGTATCTCAAAAATGAAGCAAATCTGAGCTGCGCATAAGAACTTTCCTTGGTGTGAAAAATGCGGGCAAGAGAGATTAAATGACTATTCTAGATATGTTGACCAAGGCAGAAATAATGTTTAGCGTTTTGCCTTAGAAATCAGCCAAGTTTTTCAGCCTACGAGGGGGAAACTCTCATGCAATAGGGATAAAACTTTTTGTTATTCCCATTACAAGAGGCAGAGGTATGCTAAACACGAGAAGTGGCCTTGGCGCCCCACTATTTAATTCTGTTAAATGTAAAGAAAAATTATTACATTTAAGTCTCTGGTCCCCTTACTACTCAATATTTCTCAAAATTGCATTTCAATATGAATATAGTAGTAAAATCATACGAAATGTAAACTACTCATTTCAATCTAGTAGTCTTATTGGTAATAGTTTTACCCAATAAGCCAAAAACATGTATGTAATTAAACTTGATATTTTACGTTTAGCCTTCCAAATACTGAGTCCTGACTCTGCCCCCTGATCACCAACCATTTGTGGTACCATTTTGGACCAAATTTCGGAGAAACAGAGACTTATGTGGGTTCCCCTGCCTCTCGCAATAATGAGAGTATGATAGCTACTACTGTGAGTGGACCTCACACAATTTTTGCGAGGACAAAAACACAATCTTTTGTCTAAATTTCGGTATAAGTTGATGACCCCACATAGCCTTTAATAATCTCTAGGGGGTAAGGACTGACGAGGGTTTTGGATTCAAATCCCAACATCCGTGTAGTGTATGAGCTATCACCCCCTTAAAAAATAATCGCTGTAGATTAGTTCTAAATTTCATTTAACATAATCATGTAATGAGTAAATTGGATACATATTATATAATGATATATATCATATGTTCTGATAAAAAAGAATCCAATTCCAAGTTCCCAACTACCCCAAACACCACAGTGATAAGTTAACCATAGTCAAAGTGGTGCAAAGTTTGCAACTTGCGTATACAAAATTGCAGGGTCAGGCATAATGTCCTGTATATACAAAATATCAAGTTAGCAGACAAGGAAAGGACAGTGTGCCTTCAACTTGCCATCCCTAGTCTTGCGTTGTGATCTTTCCATGAGAAACAAGCATAAAGTTTCACGAGGCTGGCTGATTAAGCAGTTGTAGGCAGCCAGCAGCTGATACAAGTTCGAAGCTTGCAACAAATTTACAGGCGTTTTCCATCTGCAAAGTATGTGATACATTAGATGAAATAGTCTGATCGAAACATATATATATATATACAGTTATTCTCTTATCCGGATGTCCGCACGTTATTATCGTGCGGATCCTATTGTAAACAGGCAGGAAAACAAAGAGGGGTAGTACAAAATACACTGCGTCCACACGATAATAACGTCCGGATGTCCGCATAAGAGAATTTCTGTATATATATATATATATATATATATATATATATATGTGTGCGCGCGCGCGCGCGGATAAAGAAAGAAATAAGCCAGAAACAAGCCTTTAATTTTGGACCCATCACGACCACTTCTCTATTGCAATTTGCATGGCTGCAACCATCATCATAAATCTAGCATGAGAAAAGGAGGCAATAATGTAGCCAGAGACGACTTGCCGATCAACTCATTCTCACAACAACATGCGCATATTGGAGAATGACAAGCTAAGTATTGCCGGCAAGTCATCCTTGGCTGCACCACATGCCTCATTTCCACATGCAAGACTTTAGATGAAAATACCATAACAGCATATACAAATAAAGTCGCATAATAATATGACCAACCAATCAAATAGATCCAAATGTGTAAGAAACCAGGAAAAATAAAAGTCAAGGCAGGGTAGGAATTTTCCGAAAGAAGAAAGACAACATTCCCTTGTAGAAAAATGGAAACTCAACCCTCTACTTATTTCAACAAGAAAACAAGGCATTGTCCCAAAGAGGGAAGGAAAGCTTTGGAAACAGGCAGAGAAGAAGAAGCCGATTGGACTGCAAAGCCCTCTTGGCAGTGTTTGGACGAATGAGCATAGATATATAGAGAGAGAGGGAGAGAGAGAGAGAGACTAGCTTGCTCATAAATAAATAAAGAAATTGGCAAAAGCTGTTTTCTCTTGTCTCCATGACATCTAAGTAAGTATTAATGATCTCAGCTTTTGTACAAAGCAGAAGCAGCTCCAGAACTGTCCGATCAAAGTCCTTTATCCAATGGACAGGAATCTGTGGGGAAAATGAGTAACTTAGAGGGAGTTTTTCAGGGGTGCATAAACCAAAGAGTTTGGATGTGACTTTGCATGGGTGCATAAACCAAAGAGATATTAAGCCGAAAGATACATCTCCATCACCTAATGTTCACTTTCTTGTTGCTTTTCTGAGAAGCCATTCAAGTCATAGCGTAGCTTTTGATTTGATTTGATTGCTTAAATTGAATGAATGGTATGGCATGGCTCTCTTCAGATTCAGAAGGTGTACCCTCGTTGGTTAGGAATGAGTTAGGTGAGGTGAGTAAATTTACTACATTTGGCCGCATCCCAACCAATTTGAGTTTCAGATTGTGCGGTCACTAAACTTAGATTGTCTTTACCCCAAAATGCTTGCTATCATCTGATCTTATGCTACATGACTAGCTGCTTTTGCATTTATCATTTTTTCTTGGTCGCACTACGTTTCATGTCGGCCATATGATTTTATATAGTCGATCAACTAGTTTTTAACTTTATCACAGGTAATGTCCAAGCATCGCCGTTTAGCGCAAGTAATGTCTACGCATCGCCGACGTGACAATGTAGGGAGTCATTTGGTTCGTAGGAAATTATTTTCTTTTTTATGTTTGACAAGTCTACGTGAGAAAATGTTTCATGCCCTGCCTTGTGGGAAAATGAAGTGAAAAATGTTGCATGAGAAATCAAGGCAATCATTACTTACATTATTTTTATGACAAAGAACCCTATTAACAACTTAAAATGTTAATTCTATCAAAAGAAATCAAGATCAAGGCAATCATTACTTACATTATTTTTATGACAAAGAACCCTATTAACAACTTAAAATGTTAATTCTATCAAAAGAAATCAAGGCAAATCATCGACAGCCCCTTTCACCTCTGCAAGTTGCAAAAGTACTCAAAAAGTTTGTGTTTGTTGGCTTGTGCCGACGTAACTAACGGGGTGAGGCTTCATCGCCTCATTTGCAGACACACCACTTTATAATATTTTGAAGTCTGAATTATAGTTTCTCATGCAAAAAATGGGTTCATATCAAAGTGGGTAACCTGGTGGTAGGCATTTTCTTGATGCATTTCATATCAAGTACTGCCTTCAAAACACATACTACTCTACCCCTTAAAAAAGAAGAAAACATAAACATAACACAAATACATATCAGCAACGTGAAACTGAAGGAATTATATCAAAACTCCATTGCCATGAAACTTGGTCCATTTGGTTAAAAGCATAGGAGGCCTTGGCCCCGACATATACACAACCAGCAAACCTTGCCCCAACCTCTCCCAATCCCCACCCCAGACCAAAACAAAAGAAAAGCAGAAAAAAGAAGCTGAGGCCATCCAGTGCCATGACAAACAATATGCAATAGGGAAGCATCATGCCCATCAGACTATGTACTCAACCAACAGAGGATATGCCTGCTTAAATTGTGTTTGCAACAACCAATGCCTGTATCATGCCAACGGCATTCATAGAACCTGCCAAATGCATTGTTGTACAAGAGACTTAGAAAACTTCTAACCATAGCTAGACAGTGACACAGCTAGCACACATAACACAAGTAGTTAACCTACCACTTGAATCATTTAGTTTCAACCAAACCCACAAGTTTCAGAATAGGCCTTCAAAAGTTAAGATCCGAAGTTCCACCATCCATCAACCATACCATTCAAGAAAACTCCAAACTTACCTGAACACAAACAAAACTGCCGGAAGCATAACTTCAAGGAAATTTGCAATTGAATTCTGAGTCGACCAAAAATTGCCAAAAACAGCAAATCTTTGAAGCATGGAATTTGATTAATAAAATACAACCAGGTGTCTAATAAAGCTCAAACATGAACACCACCAGGCACACAGCTTACACAGTAGTGGCTACTCTGGAAACAGATTCCTCCAATATACTAGAATTCCCCCAAAGTGTGTTGTCACATTGAGCTTCAATCACACATCCTGCTCTATTAGCATAACATACGCATTCTGCTCACATGGTACTACAAATAACTTTGAAATGTGTGTGGGTGTGGGTGTGGGTGTGTGTTTGTGTTATATGTGAATAAACAAATTCTCACTTTAATCAAAACTAATTTCAGACTGGTAGTCCTCAATAATTTATTTTGACGCAGATAGAATTCACACACAACAGATGTTGTAAACCAAAAAGGTAATACGAATGATACAGAAGTAAAATAATAAATGCCTGCAATCAGATGATACAACAATCAGCTAGATCACAAAGTGGTTAAGTTTTCCATAATCAACAACATCTGAATTAAAACCACAAAGTAATTCAACTACATAACTGACAAGCATAGGTAATAAACACTAGTACATTGGCAAGATTGAAGTAACATGGCTTCATATCCTAAAAGTGTATCAGGAAAAACAGCAACATGGGAAATGCTGGATATATAGGTTCTAGGGAAGCTTGGGAATTTTGGTTTCTTGGACATTTAAGTAGAAGCGTCAAGGTGGGCCATGACTATGTCATATGCTGGTTCATCTTCCGGTTTAGGCAGACAGTAGGCTGGCTTCAGGCTTCATAGAACTCAGCTGTTTTGATGGGATGGGAAAGGCAAAAAAGGGAAAACAAGAGCATCAGCATTTTATATACAGGGAGATTGGATAGGTTACGATATCAAATGACTGGCCAAGGGTAATGCCAGTTATAAACAGACAAGAAAATCTCAAAAGACAACCATAGTCTACCTGCTGGTACCATCATCAAATATTAGTAACCATAGTTTCTCCTCCGAGAAACAGGGTTCTGGCTAGATAACCTGATATCATGAGCTTCAAATCAGGATTAATGCGTTTCAAGATTGGTATTTACGGGAAAAAAATGACCTGTTACTTAATTAATAAAACCAACATCAGATGCCTCCTGCTCATATGCATAAAACCGGATAACTCTATTTAGAGCTCTTTGTAACTGAGTTTCATGAATTGTTACTACAAAGTTTGAAAATTCAAATTTTATGAATACTCAACAAGAGATTTACACTAACTTGAAGTTGTCACCTAAAATTCGGTATAAAGCTAGCTGATCGATATACACTTGTGGCAAAATAGCAAAAGAACAGGAAAATGCAGATAAAAAGGGGAGGAGAGGAGTTGAAATTAAGAAGGGGCAAGCCAAGATAGAGAAGACCATGGAAGAAAAGTTTTACCCAGAACTACCACTCCGTCCAGAAGAATAAGCTCCATAGGCTCCATAAGCGCTGCCGCTACCACCAATCTACATATGGTATGAAGAAAAATTGTGAAGGAACAAATGAAGATATAGGTGGCAATATTAAAAAATAATAATAACAAACAGAATCTAATGAAAGATGGAACTAAGTAAAGAAGCAAACCTTCAAGCAAGTATTCATTCACCTTAATTCTTAAAAGAATGGTCTAGAAATAGCAGTAAAAAGATACCTGTGAACCACCATAACTTCCATAACTGTCATTTGTTGCAAAATCACTTGAGCCACCATAGCCGGCAGAGTAAGAATGCCCACGCCCATGTCTTTTACCATCTCTACTGTCATAATTTGGACCATCTGAACCATCTGCTGACACAGGAAGATAAGGCAAAACTGGCAGGAACGCAGACCCTGCACCTTCCCTGTCAAAAAGGTTTGCTCTTAATCGGGTAACTACTTGTATAAGAGCGTCCTTAGCAATATCAAGATCTCCAGAAATCTGTGGAATTAAAACACAAGATTGTCAGTATTCGTATGATATCAGCTAAATCAAGGAAAACTCTAAACGCATTACCAAAACTAAAAATTATAAATGACACAAGAAAACACGATAGTCAGGAAAATTCTGAGCACACCTGCACCATCTCATCATCTTCAGATGCGATTTTGGGCAGACTTTCCTTAGAAAGTATGCGAATATTAGCTTTAGTAATTCTCCTCATCTCAGTTACAATCGCTCCTCCTTTACCAATTAAGCAGCCAATTCGTGATGTTGGAACAAGAAGGCGGGTTGTAAATGAGATAATTCCTGAATCTCTTTCTACTTTCTCGCTGCATCTGGGTTGCAAACGCACTGCTGCTTCTACAGTTGCCGAGTATGGGTCTTCAAAGAACTGAAATAGTACATGTTAAAAACAAATAACAAATAACAAAATGATGATGTAAAATCTTCCATTGATACAGCTTGAAACACAAAACAAATGGAGTAGTACTTCACCTCCTTTGCTGATACAGTAATTAAGCAATCATCTCCTTCAGATGTTGAACTATCAACTTTAATGACAGCCCCAGAATCCTGTCTGATTTGATTAATTATGACACCACCCTTCCCAATCACACCTCCAATATTAGCAGTTGGACAAACCAAGCGAATAGAAAATTCTTTTGAAGAAGCATCATCTCTTGGAGCCGAGTACAAGGAGCGTGACCAGTCTCCAACATCACCTTTATACCCTCCATAAGGACCCATCAATGGAGCTATTCCCACTATCGGTGGACCACCAGATGGACCCATGAGCGAACCACCAGAAGTGTACATAGGCACCGCAGATGTAAGCAAATGCTGAGATCGTGATGGGTTATCATGAAGGCGAGATGCTATTTGAAAAAGAGCCTTCTTAACAAGAGGAGCCTCCCCAGATATCTGAAGCCGCAACCATAACAAATTTATATGAATATGTACAACAAAGATACTCCACAGATATATACTGGACAATTGCATGTCTCCAGATCCAATAAAGCATATTACCATGTTCCAGAAAAGTGCTGACCATTTATTAAGGGGGGCAGACCAAAGATTATACACAACCTACATACTATATAGAGCTGTCCACCAAAATGCATATCAAGGTTCATAACTTGCCAGCATGCAAATTTGATATAATGTTAAGGGTCCAAAGAACGGAATCACGGATAATTAACATAAAAGATGATAATATCTAGACCAAATCAGAAATGCCGAACTTGCTTTCGAAAAATGCAGAGCAGCGCTGCTCTCTTCAGCTAAAAGATGCCAAAATACTAGCAAGTAATTACCCATTACAAATGACATATACTTGTACAAGCCTAACAAGGCAAAATTCAAAAGTTTAATCAATGTACCTGTACAAGCTCATCCGAGTTCAAGGCACAAGCAGGCAAATGGTCGTCCTTCAGAATGCGAATCTGGGCACCCGTTTCACTACGAATGTTCTGAACTATCTGCCCACCTTTGCCAATAATGCAACCAATCTGATCAGACGGCACAAGAAGCCGAGCAATAACATGGTGGCTTCCACCGTCCGCGTCCTCATCGTTATGCAGGTCCTCAGCTATGACCCTCTCATGGACCCTGAACAACGCGTCCTGAGCAGGAGCAACATAAGCACCACCATCTTCAAACCCATTCGTCTCGTCGCTGGCGCTGTACACAGTAACAACTCGCTCCTCGCAACCCGGCACCGTTTCGCCGATTCTAATCTTGGACTTTGTGTCCACCCTCAGCTGCTTCACAATCTCTCCTCCTCTCCCGATTATGCTACCAATCTTCTTCACCGGGCACAAGTACCGATACACGGTGTCCTCCGCATCGATGATGAATTGCTCTCTTTCTTCACCTGGATTTCTCCTTTTGTTTCCTCCTCCTCCGTTATCGGCGTAATCCGACTGAGAATGAGAGCGCTTTCCATAACTGTTCCTCTGACCTGCCATACTTGATCTGCTTCCGAATCAAACAATCAACAACGAAATCAGTGAAAATACCTAAATCGGGAAAATGAGTACTATTGTGCGCAAACAGTTATAAATCTAGGAGTAGGTGAAGGTGCAGAAGAAGAATAAGATTGAGTACCTTTTGAATTGAGAGAGATGACGATGGGACTGCGATATTATGGTGTCTCTGCAATTTAGATTCATGAATTTCTAGGGTTTTGACCACCCTTTCTTTAGTTTTTATTTTATTGACAACCTTTCTTTTGTTATTTATTTATTTATTTATTTTTAATCTATCTATATATAAAACAAAAGGTAGAGAATAGGTCTGATTTGATCGGTTCTCACCAAAAATCAGAATCGGTATTGTTCATTCGGTTTGGTCTGATTCAATTTTCACTTACAATGATTGAGAGAACTGAACCAATCCAAACTACCTAGGACCGGTTCAGTTTTCCAATTTTCCAAGACAGTTTTTTTTTTTTGTCTAAACCATGAGGTGGTGTCCTGGATGGGCCCCAACTATGGGTGGCACCTTTAAGCCTTAACCACAACCCAGACTAATCCCCACTCACACTGGGTCGGCCCGTAAGGGGTAAAGTGTTGGCCAAAGTGGTGACTCCGTACAAGAGCAAGGATCGAACCCCTAACCTCTCTTAAGGAATGAGAGTGCCGAACCACTCACACCAACCACCTTGGTTAAAAATAAAAAATGGTTATAAGATCCACCACAAGGGTGGGTAGCCTTAACCGGATGTGTGGTAACAGGTAAGCTCGAAAGCTGTTCCCGTCCCTGTCAGGGGAGATGCCAACCATCTCTCCTTTCTACGAACACTGGTTTTGAATTCGTGCAAAAGACCCAAATTTGTTGACAAGATAAGAAATTTGTCGGAAAAAGTCTAATTCGGCAAATATTTATCATGAAAGATAAGCTTTTGCTGGGAAATGTCTAACCTGGCAAATATTTGTATGAAAGACCTACATGATTTAAAGAGAAACACTTTTTTATTTTTTGGAGGTACTTTTGGGCACCAATTCTTCTCATAATTTTGTTAATTTTTAATGTTGGACTGAGTTTTAGTAAATCTCTACATTTTTAGTTTGGGCATTAATTCTTTCTTGTTCAGATTTTCCTTGTACGCTCTCTAATTTTTTCTTGCATCTCTTTTCGATCCTCCTTCCACTTCCGTGTCTCTATTTTGATTTTCATTTCTTATGTTTCTAAGATAAATTTATGTTTATAGTGGATTGAGTTTTTAAGGCCCCTCCATCTTTTCTTTTAGTGTACAACAATAGGGTTTTGACGTGTTATCGTATTAATGATTGAATAACATAGTAAAAAAAAATTATAACAATTTAATTATCATCTAAACTAAAGATATGGAACATTCTCAACGACATATAAAACGATTGAACTTTCCTAATTACACATAACATATCCAGGAATATAAAGTTAAATTTAAGCTCCAAATTGATGAAAAAAATTATGGTTCAGCAACTATTTATTAAATAATAATTCGACGGGATAGACATTATAACTTTATAGTTCATTGAATTTCGTCGAGAAATGTCTATCCCGACAATAATAATTTAAGCTCCACAAAAGAATTTAGAATAATTAATTATATTTATTAAGTAATTAATTAAAATATTTAAATTCTAATTATTCACTAAATAAATAACAATTAAAATATAACTAGCCTCTCCGCACGCCCTTCTGCGCCGAGAGGCTTTTTTTTAAAAAAATTAAATTTATTTTAGAATTAAAAAAGATAATGGGTAGTTTTGTTCCATAAAAATAAGATCCATTATCTGATTTTTCTTTTAATTTTATTTTTTAAATATGAAAAGTGTGAATTTACCATATTATCCTCATTTAATTAATAATTTCAATTCTTAATTTTTGCATTAATGAATGGCATTTTCTGGTATTTTGAATGTTTCACCATTATCTGCCTTTTGCTTTATATATATAGATTACTAATTGAAGTAATTAAATAAGCTAAGAAATTACTCAAATACAAATATTAAACTAAACAAATTAATTTTGTATAATAAAAAAATTAATAATAATTTAGTGACCTTACTCGATGAAATTGCCGGAGCGGTGAGCGATGATACTATTGAGAATAGAATAACTACACTCTTTTTTCATTTTCTGCAATTGAATATGAACTTTTTCTAATGTTTCATTGCATATGATGAACGATATGAATAAATAAGAAGAAACATCGAACCATAGTCTTCTCGGCCTAAGGTAAACAAAGAAACTTGACCAAATGGACGATGTTGTTGCATAACACGTTTAAATAATAAACATCAAATGTAGAATCTTCTCGATTGAAGGCAAATGAATTGGATGTTGATGTCGCGTTGAAGCTATTGGATGCAGATGCAACCACACCTCGCAAAATGACGAAGGAACTGGTGGTCAAATGGATGACATTGTTACAGAATACATTTGAAGAAGAAACATTGACCGCATAGTATTCTTGGTCGAAGGTAAATGAATTGGATATAGATATCGCTTCGAAGCAATTGAATGCAGATGCAACTCCAGCCAGCAAGATGATGAATCACTTGGTGGCCAAAGGAACGACGTTGTTGTAGAACGCGTTTGAAGAAGAAACATTGAACACAGAGTTTTCCCGGCCGAAGGTAAATGAATTTGATGTAGATGCAACTACACCCGGCGAGATGACGAAGGAATTGAGGTCAAAGGGACGATGTTGTTGCAGAATGCGTTTGAAGAAGAAACATCAAACGAATAGTCTTCTTGGCCGAATGTAAATGCAGCACCAAAACTATTGGATGCAAATGCAATCAGACCTGGCAAGATGACGAAAGAACTCAAAGCTAAAGGCATGACATTGTTGCAAAACACATTTGAAGAAGAAACATAAAAAACAGAGTTTCCTCAGTCAAAGATAAATGAATTGGATGTAGAGATTTGAGGGTTGGAAGAAAGGTTTTCTGTCAAATGGATGGAGGTTAACATTAATTCAATCAATCCTTAGTAGCCTACCAATTTATTATTTATCGTTGTTCAGAGTTCCAGTAAAGATAGCTACAAGGTTGGAAAAGTTGTTTAGAGAATTTTTATTTTTATTTATTTTTTTTTTTTTGGGACAGGGTGGGAAAAGGTAATTGGGAAAATGTCATAAGATGTAAAGAATAAGGATGGATGTGTAACATCATGTCCTGACATTTTTATTTTATTTCTGAAATTTGAACATAATTGGAAGAATATTGTTTTTAAGTGGTTTAGGGGTCACTTTGTGTTTGGGATTGGTTTTGAAAATTTTCTTCGCTTTATTGTGTAGGGTTTGCTCTTACGAGTTAGAAGATACGTAATGGGCACGAATCAGAGTTTTAACGAGACATTTGTGGTCAACGAACCAAAAGGATAAATTTGTAATTTTAGAAAAGTTTATTTTAAAAACCCAGAATTTTGGCATTCCTTCCTACTTTCTCTCTCATTTCTCTCAATCTATCTTCCAAGAAACAGTGCATTGCGCCTCTTATACTTCCCAGTAGGGCAACGCATCCATTCGGTCACGGCTGCTGATGCTACCGGTCGGGAAATGTTCACCGTCGACCAGTAAGCGTGTCAAGCCCAAATCTCGACCCTATCAACCAGTCACGACAATGAATTGAGTTTCCGAAAGCCAACGGGTTTCCAATTTTTTTGACGCAATTTTCAGTGGCTCTGACGATCGTTGCCATCGATCTAAGTATGGATCTTCAGCCTTTCCTCATGCTCTAGTTGATGGTATACATGGTTGCTGCCGATTTGGTCGGTCATGGCTTTAATCTAGACACCCATGGTGACGTCCGTTTTGGGTGAGTTTTCAGGAAAAATTTGCCCACGGTGACCGCTTCAAGAGTAAAAGTTGTTCCCCTTGAAATGTTTGTGCTAGTTGAAGAGTTGTCTTGTAACCAATATCATTTGTTGAAGTTTCGGCTGATTGGTTGGAGTTTGAAGAGTTCGGTTTTAAAAAAAATGTTTAGGAGTTTTTAGTTCATATGTGTATACTTTAAATATAACTTGAATTCTTATCACTCATGGAATTTAAGGATGTTTTGATATAATGTTTCACGAACTACGTGTGGCTTGATCCCTCGAGAAAGATATGTAGGCAACCTAGGGTGACCTAGGTGCAGTCACAAAGTTAAACACTTTACGTTAGGAATAGTTGTTGTTATTTGATTATGTGGTTTATTTTATTGGATTGAGTATTGGTTATTTGTGTGTTGAGTTCCGATGCTTGTTAATGGACTAGTTATGATTGTGAAAAAGGGGTCTGAGGCCCATTAGAATTGTTGCTAGCGTGTGGTTGACTTATATCTTGTGCATCCTGAACGCTTGGGAAGTAAACTATGTTTTATTTGCATGTGGATTTTGGGTTTAGAGCCATTTTCAGGGGAGACTCAACCCATTTTATCGTAAAAGTCCAACCCTAAGATTGTTTTGGAATTAAGGCAAGAAGGCATTTTAGTAATTTGGGCCCGATACTTGCTAGATGTTAGACAAGCACACGGTCCGTCATGGATTCCAAACAAGGATTTGGGACGGGTCTTGTTAGGTTGGGTACTTAGGACTCGAAATTTGTTGGGACGGTCTATTCCAGCAAACATTCGTCAGCACATGTCCATTTCGACAAAATTCACCTCCCAGTAAAATTTCGTCGGGATACAAAACGTTCTCGGGGTAGGTTTATCCTGACAAAATTCACCGAGATATTTCTATCCTGGCAGCTTACAAAGTTTTTTTTTTCTTTCACAATTGTATTTTGCTAGATGCCTGTCTCATCAGTTTTTTTTCTATTTAAATGGGCATCTAGCAAAATAAAATTGTTAAAAAGGGTTAATGACCTAAATGGTCCCTAAACTATTGTCCCAGTATCATTTTGGTCCACCAACTAAAATTTTCAATTCAAACGTCCTTAAACTTTTTATTTTGTACCAAGATGGTCCATCCGTTACAGATTCTGTGACTTCTGATCACGCGATGGCCATGTGACTGAGTTTTGAAGGGTATATACGACTTTTTGAGAAGCTAACACAAAACTCCCGGATTATTGATTTCAATGGTCCCCCAACTATTGCTCCAGTATCATTTTGGTCCCCAAAACTCCCATTTTCTTCTTCTTCCTCCTCCCTCCCAACAGCCACTAAATTGTTGAAAGATTCACTGTTAGCAATTCAGCAAGTTTCAATCTTTATGTCGGCCATGGATGATGGCATTCCAAGCTTCGCAAACATACACGAATCACATAAAATCCTTGGGCGGAAGTCATAAAAGAATGTCGAACACAAGCTCCGGTGGAATGTATGGGGTGGTTGTTGAAAGCTTGGGTTTATGGTTAGAATTTGGCAATTTGTGCATCAATGGATTCAACACTCAACATACTCTCAGAGTCAACAGAAAAATATAATTTCTTAACAGCTCTCCATCTATAACAAGAACCCTAACAATCAAATTCAATTTATTTTATTTATAAATAAAGAAGAAAAGAAATTAAGCACAATAACAAACCTTAATGCTTCCGATTATGCCTCTGGCGCCTGTGTCTTGCGAGTATCCGATAAAAAAGAAACGAACATGATGATGAAGAAAATGAAGAAGAAGATGAATGAAAAGAAAAACCTTTTATGGAATTTCTTCACAATTGTTACAATTTATAGAGTTATACTTAACTCTAAACAGAATTAGTAACTAAAACTAACCTAGCTACCTGCCTACCCTACTCCCAAATCCCTCAATCCCCATCCCCCGCAGCTCCCCAACCCCAACCCCTCGGCACCAGTCACCTCCTTCAACCTTTCGCCGCCTCACTGTTGGACGAAGTTGTGGTTCCAATGGTGCTCAGGAGGATACTCACTTAAAAATACGATTTTGTCCCTCGATTTCACGGAATAATAAATAGACTTTGACGGATAGACCATCTTGGTACAAAATAAAAAGTTTAAGGACGTTTGAATTGAAAATTTTAGTTCGTGGACCAAAATGATATTGAGGTAATAGTTTGAGGACCATTTAGGTCATTAACCCTTGTTAAAAATCTAAATTTTTTTGTAAGTCCCCTAATAAAAGATGTACATCTAAAAAAATACAATTATAAATAATTAAATAAAAAAAACTTTGTAAGTTGCGCCTCATTAAAAAAAAAAGCCTTTAACCAAGGTACTTGATGTGAGTGGTTCGGCACTCTCATTCCTTAAAAGAGGTCATGGGTTCGATCCCTGCTCTCGTATGGAGCCACCACTTTGGCCAGCACTTTACCCATTACGGGCCGACCCGGTATGAGTAGAGATTAATCTGGATTGTGGTTAAGGCTTAAAGGTGCCACCCATAGTTGGGGCCCATCCAGAACCACCTCGTGGTTCAGACAAAAAAAAAAAAAAAAAAAAAAGAGCCTTTTCTCCCCCCAAAAAAAAGGGGTGTCACGAGGACAAACAAACAATGACGCGTATCGCAACCAAAGAAATAAGTCTGAAGCAGACAGATTTACCCTTCAATTATCAATAAAATCCTCATCACGTCCCACTTCCCACCCAATCCCATCGAGCCAAAGGCCTAACCCCACCTTCATATCATTTCTCCCCAAACCCACATTTTGACATAAAATCTCAAACAATTTCTCGGCGACCAAATACCCAATCTCTCTCAAGTGTCGAACCCAAACCCTAACCCCCAATCCCAAATATTGGCCACCCAATCTCGGCGCTATGTCGACCTCGGGGACGCCGCAGTTTCGGTACACGCAGACCCCGTCTAAGGTGCTCCACCTCCGGAACCTGCCATGGGAGTGCGCCGAAGAGGAGCTCATCGAGCTCTGCAAGCCGTTTGGCAAGATCGTCAACACCAAGTGCAATGTTGGAGCCAACCGCAACCAAGCTTTCGTCGAATTTGTAATTGACTCTTACTTTTCGTCATTCCAATTTCATTATCGCATTAAAATTTTCCAGAATTTATGATAACCATTTGATCGGAAGTGTCATCTTATTTCTCATTTGTGTTGTTGTAGACATTAATTCAGCTGAAATTGGTTAGATATTTGAAAATAAATAATTGGGTGCGAGCATATCTATCTCGATTTCTTGCTATATGTTGATGAAGGCAATAATTACTTTTCAGGCTGACCTAAACCAGGCCATAAATATGGTTTCATATTATGCTTCATCCTCAGAGCCTGCACAGGTCCGTGGTAAGACTGTTTACATTCAGTATTCAAATAGACACGAAATCGTCAACAACAAAAGTCCTGGAGATGTTCCCGGAAATGTCTTGTTGGTCACCATTGAGGGTGTTGAAGCTGGCGATGTGAGCATCGATGTTATTCACTTGGTAAGTGCTTTTGACCCACAGTTGTTACATATTGGCCCTGTCTTGTATATAATATATATTGCAAAAACCTTGTCTAAACCTAGCTGATCCATGTCTAGAGAAGCATGAATTGCTGGCTTGTTTTCTAAGTCATGGGATTCTGGATAAACTTTCAAATTGAATTTGTGTAAAGCAGATTTTCGTTTTGTCCTTTTTATTGAAATCAGTTGAATCACAGATGGTGATGTCTCTTATTTAAATTCTTTTGTTGGAAGCAGTTTGGAATTATTATCATGTACGTCATACTCCTTTCTAAGGTCACGCATATATGCACAGGTGTCATTCTGCACTTATAACTCATCTGTTTGGAATTTTTTTGTTGTCCCATAATATTTTCGTCCGGGAGGGTTTCTGCTGTTGTCTTGTTTCTTTTTTTGTATCCATATGATATGTTAATGATGAACTGAAACATTTTTCAGGTGTTTTCTGCTTTTGGCTTTGTGCACAAGATTGCTACGTTTGAAAAAGCAGCAGGCTTCCAGGTCTGTATTGGATCTTTCTTTGTGATGCATACAACATGTACTTTAGATATGTCATTTTTATCCTTTTGTTTTAATTTTGCAGGCATTGATTCAGTTCAATGATGCTGAAACTGCATCTTCAGCAAGGAATGCCTTGGATGGAAGAAGTATACCCAGGCATGTACTGTCCATATGTTCCCCCATCCCCACCATCTTTTCCTCTTCCTCATTGAGTTCAGTACATTTGGAATAGTGTGTAGTGTTTCTAATTTTTGAAACCCGATGCTTTACAATCAGGTATTTGCTTCCAGAGCATGTTGGTTCGTGCCACTTACGTATTTCATATTCCGCACACACTGATTTGAACATCAAGTTCCAGTCTCACCGAAGCAGGTAATCAACAGACCCAATAGGTCAATATTCTGTTTTCGTTTTTCTTTTTGGCTTTGTTCTTATGCGTCTCAATGTGTTTATTGCTAAACTCTTTAGCTGATTTTATTGCATGTTATATCAAGTGCTAATGGGTGCATGTGCTTTTTGTCATCTAGGGGTTAGTGAAGCCTGGTAGCCAGAACACAGATGTGTTGTCATGACCATTTAGTAATTCCTTGATCTTATATAGTGGCTTAATGTATTTATTAATTCCATTATAGTTAGAGTTGCTCATTTTACACTATTACACACTATACATTGTTATTGTGTGTTCGTTTCATACAATTTGTTCTTCCCTGTTGGGATGGCTTCTCGTTCAGCATATTTTCAGTGTCATGTATTTGCACACTTACATTTATTTATACTACATGATTGGTTTTGGAAAAAGTTTCTGCTTGACATTAGCTGAGACATACATGACTAGATGCATAGTGCAAATGTTGTTTTAACGATTCTCACGATAATTTATTGTAATAACTAGAAAATACTCCTTGCTTTTACTTGAATTTTACATTAATTTCTATTGGACGTGTGTTTATGGATGTGTTTCTATTTTGAGACAGTTTGTTAGACTCTCACATCAGTTTGTGCATGTAATTGTTGCATAATGTGTATGATTTTGATTTGCATTGATTCTGCAGGGACTATACAAATCCGTACCTTCCTGTAAATCCTACTGCAATAGAGGGAATTATGCAGGTATGCTCTGGGCTTTTAGAACATTACTATAATATGTAGTGTTGAGTATTACTACCTAAGCCAAACATTGCTCTAATTAGCTGCTATCTCCAGCCTGCTGTAGGTCCTGATGGAAAGAAGAAAGAACTTGAGAGTAATGTGCTTCTTGCTTCAATCGAAAATATGCAGTATGCTGTCACTGTGGATGTTCTTCACACGGTTAGGATTTATAACTTTTGTGCATTTTAAGTGCTCAATTTAATAAGATGTTATATATATATATATATATGATGCTGCTTTATATGTTATAGGTATTTTCTGCATTTGGCACTGTCCAGAAAATTGCTATATTTGAGAAGAATGGTCAAACACAGGCATTGGTTCAATACCCTGGTATTTACCCTCTCTATATAACCTATTGATTTTTCATGGATCTGTGAGAATTTGGCTGTCATTGATTTGTGAGTTGTTATTTTCAGATGTCAATACCGCAGCAGTTGCAAGGGAAGCTTTAGAGGGACACTGCATATATGATGGTGGCTATTGTAAGCTTCATCTATCATACTCTCGTCATACTGATCTCAATGTAAAGGTATAAATATGTGCTTTTGGGTTAAACTGTTCATGAGAATAAAAATAAGACAGAAAATGTAAAGACATCCATAGAAGAAAAAGTGGATCTGTTCTTGGTCGAAAAACGATTTGGTCCTTAAATGTATGCTTCTTGACACCTAGTTTCCTATCTGATTATATGAATTCATGCCTAAGAAATCTTGGATGAGGGTTTAAGGGTTTGTATTTATTCTTATTTGCAGGCTTTTAGTGACAAAAGTAGAGATTATACAATCCCAGAAGCTAGTTTGCTTGCGGCGCAGCAAGTTTCTGGTTACCCTGCTGCCCCAGCAGCTTGGCAGAATCCCCAGGCTGCTCCGATGTACCATGGGAATGAGTTCAGTGGTGCAGCTTCTATGCAGGCCCAAGGGCCTCCAGGGCAAGGGCCATCATGGGATCCAGCCATGCAGGCGGGCAGATCAACATTTGTTTCAGTTCCGAGCACATTTCCTGGTCAAACATTTCATGCGTCCTCAGGTCCAGTATATTCCTCTGCAGCAATGCCGCCGGGTTCTTCACCTCTCCAAACAGGCCCAACTACTTCCTCCAGTATGGCTTCTAGGGGAATATCTCAGCCAGGTGGTCCGCCCAACTTGCGACCTGGGGGTGGTGCTTCACCTCCAGGAGTTGGACCTCCTGGTGCCTCACCATCCTACTATGGCCAATAAGATGCCTTTTCCTTTCTTTTCTTTAAACGAATGCTGGTTATTGCCAGTCTCATATTTTTGTTTTTTCGTTGGGAATGCGTCTGGACGTCAAAAGATTTTAAAACCCGAAATTCAATTTTCAGTGTTTTAAACTCGGTACTGCCCTGCTTTGATTGGAAATCTGATCTTGTGATCTTAGTTTGAATACGAAATATGTATTGTTTTGAGCTTAACTAAAATCTTTCAAGGCACATGTTATTGCATCCGCTTGAGCTCAATCACCCAACTCAAGTACACAATCACAATTGGCAATTGGGCATTGTATTTTCCTTTTCTCTTTTCTTTTTCTTGGTACTAGTCAATCAAGGAGGACCCAAGTGAAAATCTATTCATAGGGCTTGGCTTTTGTCCACTGCCATACCATTAGTCACTAGACTGCAAAAGCCTGAAATGAAAAGTTAATTCAATTCTGTGTTTGGCCTACTTGGTCTAAAACAAGAGGTTGTAAAGTAAAGGGGCCCTGTAACAAACAAACAGGGTTCAACTCTTCAACCAGCACGGTAGGACTAGAGACCCTGGATGGAGCTCTAAGCTCTGAGCTCTGGAATTTCAACATCCGAAAGTGAACCTGTCTTATAAATTGTTTGAGAGTGATTCTAGATAGGCCAGAATCACTTCTGGGAAGTAGCACATCCCTCATGCTTCTCTATATAATCACTTTAAGTGATTTTAAGTGACTCTGGGGAGAAGCAGCTCGTATGTGCTTCTCCATTAAATCGCTTAAAATCACTTAAAAGTGATTATATAGAGAAGAGATTCTCCATAAAAGTGCTTTTTGACATATCCAAAATCACTCCCAAACGAGGCCTTAATTAGGCCATGTTTTTGGATTATGAGGTTGCATTGGATTACATTGAATTGAAACAGATAATATTAATCCAATGATGTTTTTGACACCACATGATTAAGGGATTGGATTAATTGAAATGTGCTATTACACTTGGTAGAATTAGACATAATCTAATCCAACTTAATTCTAACTACATAATCGAACTCACCAAACAAACTAAGCTAGTTCAAATGCAAATGAGAGATTTCAACTTGATTGAATTTGAGACTCATTTATTTAAAATCTAATCACAATTAATCATGCATCATATGTCTCAAAATTCTCATTACTATTTGATTTTTTCCCCTTTTCCACGATATCTCAAATATTTCTTATCCGCATGCCTCGAGATATGCCAACATTAATCAAAACCCAGTGAGCATGAATTGGATCAGAGAGGCAGATATTAGCATTAAGTCAGCAGAGCATATGGCTCTATCAAAATAAATTTATGCACAAATTCAGAAATGTCAGTGAAAATCAGAGAGATCTTACGGATTTTGTGCACAATTTCACGATGAAATAAGGAAAACCACATCAAGAGTGAGTGGTATATATTATATATATATAAAGCTGGCTGGGACGACTTGGGAGTGCTAAGTGCTAACCAATTCGCTGTGAGTGGTGAGGTGACCCTTTCCATGGATGTCATTTTCTTTAATTGCATTGCATGTTCGAAGAAAAAAGTAGAAAGAAAACGTGCCTCTGTCTATGTCGGTAGTGCATTTTTTGCTCATCAACATGCCAAATCCTTACTAATAATATTGTAGAGTTAAGAGTCATTAATTTATGTATATTGCAAATTCTCAATCCCCATTACTAGCTACACAGCAGTTTTTTATTAACCAATGAGGTGTTAGTTGGATTGATTCAAGTTTTTTATGCTCTCTCAAGTGATTCTGGGTTCAAATCTCTATGTTACTCGTGTGTGAGTTTCTCCATCCCCTTACTAACTTCGGCCAAAAAAGAAAGTAGTTTATTATTATTATAATTATTTATTTTTATAGAACTAGCTACACATAGTTAGAAGCCCTCTAAGAAAATAAGAAAGAAATTTCACTCTTCTAATTGTAATCTGCTGACCTATGTAAATTTTCACTCCAGAGAACTCTTCCTTAATTGATTGTCCCTCATATTTATCAGATTGTAGTAAATAGTTTTAAGAAAAAATCATGCATCAAAGGCCCACAACTTTCAATTCGAAGTACCATATTTCTTTAATTTCTTAAACATGCATACATATCCTGCTGTCCGTTAGGTGGTTGTTGTCTGTATAGTTTCATTTCATTGCCCACCAAATCAACTAGAAATAAGAAAACTTCTTTCACGTACATATATCACATCCTCCCAATTATACTGTATTATGCAGTTAATATTGCCTCAGAACAGAAATATGGTTTCTCCATGTTGGCTGGTGATGTTATATATGCCACTAGAACCCTAATTAGAACTCCATAATTTCCTGAGTTTGCTAAAGCATCACAGTTAATCAGTCACTAGTTTGAAGCTCGGATATTTTTCGTGAGATTCGAACTTAGAAAACTTCAAATATTGGAAAGAAAAATACTATTAAACTAAATAATTAGTCTGTCAAAACTCGAATCTTTATTATGGTTTACGGATGAAATTTGAGCAATTAAGAATAACAACCTTGAGAAAGAAATTGACTAAAAACTATGACAGAGAATGGGGTATGGGATAATCAATGCTATGAGTTGGTTGAGAGCATCCATTAGTATAAGTGGGTTTTATGGACGAAAATGAAAGATGATGAAGGAGAACATAGAACATACACGCTTGATGTTTATTTATCGATTTCACCCCGGCATTCATATGTGATAGGCCGGTCTGAGGGAGACAAACATTAATTAATTGCAGCAACGAATTTTCTGGACATGTTCGACTGTTTTAGCTGTGCTTAGGAGGGTAATGACCAATTATGTGTGGTCTAACTTGATGACTTAATTTAGGAGTGTAATCTCTGCATATACTTAGCAGGGTCACTGAAAATGTCACTGTAACTATGTTTCAAACCAATCACGCATTGTAATGTAAATATGTTAAAATGCATGAAATACTGCCACAATAACATTCCCATAACATCACACACATGGATATGTATTATGGTTTACGTCACATTCAATAGGAACCCAAACGATAGATATAATTGCCATCACATGCCACTCAAAACGCAGATGCATGTGCGCAAGTATATACGGATTACGGAAGCATGCACTATCTGCATCAAGCAACAGTTTAATGTCAAAATCATGTCACTCTCTATAAAGCTCTGTTTTCTGAGTCCAGTTTATGTTGAAAATGATGCATACTTGTGATAATAACACTTGTTTAGGTGATTAATTAGGCCATGGTCTGTCAGGCTTGCAATGGCTTAATTTGCAAAACTCTTCAACATGGCTCAGAAACCAAGTGTCCAAATATCCAGAAAAAAGCAAGGCCCTCACCATTTTAATATATGCTGAGTGTTGCAGACAGACGCTAACATCTGTCTTCGTAATTTTGACAATGAAATTGATGAAACCTTTGGCCTCTGCCTGAAAAACAGAACTTTCTTGTAACAATAATAGCATGAGAATTTCTCTCCTCAGCCTGCCTTGCAAACAGATTTGAATTCCACAGCTCGACCTTAATGTTTTGCTTTAATTTCCAACAATCAGTGTTATCTGATAATAAGGTCACTCCTGAGATGAGAGATGAAGACTTTAAGGCATTACAAGGCCCACCAAATTTCGTCCAAAGATACGCTGTTTTCACCTCTACAACTTGACAAGGTTTCAACTCTTTATGAACTTGACATCAAATCAAGGTGCAGATGTGCAGAATAAAGTTCTGGACATAAAGGTAAAAACCCACATGACCACTTTGCAAAATGGTTGTCCCTACATAGTGGAAACAGACAATATTGTGCTGGTTAGCCCTAAGTCGTTCATTACAAGACTACATATTTTTCAGAAACAAGAGCAGAAAAAAAGTAGATTTATATATGTTTGGTATGTAATAAATGAAAGCTTATCTTTCCCCAAACCAGAGATAATAAGATGAAACATTATGCATGTGGTGTTTTCCCATCAATGTTTGGTCATGCATGAATGACATTTATTAGCAAATCTTATGGTTTAGAGATTTAGATACAAAATGAATCGACAGCAAGGCACCCTTGATGCAGACATGGAAACTTTGAAGACATACCTCCAGCTTTGCAGACAGTACATAAAATAAAAGATTGAAGTTACAGACAACTCCAAGCACTGGTTTGAATTGAATTAATAAGTTGTGCAGTAAATAAATTCCATCATGGCAATAAAGAAGAATAAATATGAGCAGCTCCTAAAATTTACCATTATCAGTATCTCTGTCTTCACATGGATGAGTCTGAGAGACATATTTTCCACTTGAGCAGTTGAGAGAGCCAAAGTTACTCTGCCACAAATTTGTGGCAATTGCCAAATGGGAAACTTGAAAAAACCACGCGGTTTCATCCTTTAAAACCGCTCTCAGTCGAAAATACTGCATTGATTCTACTAACAGATCATGAGAGTCCCAAAACCACTTAGCGCAGTTGCTTGGTCCCAACAGCTCAAAATTGTCAGGTTGTCATTTCAGATGTGATGTTGACCGACTTCTATTTATTCTTCTTCAAAGTTCAAACAATCAAACCCTCCTCCCTCTTCATTTCATTTCCTCACTTCTGCTTGCTTGCTTTCAAACTTCATCATTTCCTAATTGTAATAACTCTCTTTCTCTCTTTCTCCTAATTCCCTTTTTCTCTCATAAACATGAACATAAAAACATTACATGTATAGTACACTACTGTACTAGCTACTTACTCATAGTCATAGCGAGACAAAGAGTTCTTCTATAAAATATTGCTAGGAATGCCTAAAAGAGCTCACAAACTTCACATGTCTTTGTGCAGGAAAAATGGCTTTTTTGGGGATTCTTCTACTTGGGTTTCTCTCAGTTGTCTCCTCTGTCAATGGGTACTATGGGGGCTGGTCCAATGCTCATGCAACCTTTTATGGAGGTGGTGATGCTTCAGGCACAATGGGTATGCTTAGCTTTATGATTTTTTTCCTTTCTTATTTAACTTACGGTATAGGTGACAAGCACCTTTGCTGCAAAAAGATTAGAACTTTCATTCTGTTCCCTTCTACTTATTATATTTGGACATGCAATTTTTTTTTATAGGTGGGGCTTGTGGCTATGGGAACCTTTACAGCCAGGGCTATGGGACTAACACAGCAGCACTAAGCACTGCATTGTTCAACAATGGCTTGAGCTGTGGGGCATGCTATGAGATCAGGTGTGTAAATGACCCACAATGGTGCCTCCCTGGCGTCATTGTGGTCACAGCCACAAACTTTTGCCCCCCAGGTGGCTGGTGTGATCCTCCACAGCAGCACTTTGATCTCTCTGAGCCTGTCTTCCTGCGCATTGCTCAATACAGAGCTGGAGTTGTCCCTGTATCATACAGAAGGTAAGCCAAATCTTATGTCTCTAATAATACCAACGAGGTCTAGTCCAGTGGAAAAAGGCCTTGACTTGTAGTTGCAGATAGTGATCTCATGTTCGAACCCCATGGCACAACGTGTATGAGAAAATCCCCCTCCCCCTTCCTAATTTTGGCCAAAAAAGAAAAAGAAAAAGAGTTCTCTAATAATTAGGTTTAAAATGCTAATTAAGGCTTAATTAGTATAATGATTATGTGTTTTGCAGGGTGAGATGCAAGAGAAGAGGAGGCATAAGGTTCACAGTGAATGGCCATTCTTACTTCAACTTAGTGCTTGTGACAAACGTTGGTGGGGCTGGAGATGTGCAGTCTGTGGCCATCAAGGGCTCTAGGACCCGGTGGCAACTAATGTCAAGAAACTGGGGGCAAAACTGGCAGAGCAACTCATACCTAAATGGACAGAGCCTCTCTTTTCTTGTGACAACCAGTGATGGCCGCAGATTGGTTTCATATAACGTTGCCCCTCCTAATTGGTCATTTGGGCAGACATATACTGGGAGACAGTTTCTCTATTAATTAATTAATCAATTAATTATCTGTCTGTGTGTGCTTAATGAAGCTTCTTTAGTTTTCCACTTCGTTGAGTTATATGTGGTAAGTTTACTATCTGCAGACAAAAAGCTGAAGTAATTCTGAGGAGGAAGAATGGAGTGTAGCTAATAGCTATAATTGTTGGAAGAATATAAGGGTCAAAATGAAAAAGGGTTTACTTTGAAGTAATAGATTGTGATAGATTGTGAGTTTTTGCAGTTCATGGCCGGGATTGTTCTGAAGCCTGATGGCCATATCTGCTAGAGAGAGAGAGAGATATTATGTTTCTTAAGGCAGTTTGGCAGTGGAATTTTACCACCCGCTGTTAATTTCATGAAGTTATGAATATTGAATAGAAGAGGTGTGTTTTTACTAGTTACTAGCAAATGCTATATGGCAGAAGGTATGTTTGCTAATTGCTTGTGTAATGTCAATAAACCTGCTTATGCTCCTTTTTATTACATTCGAGATACAATAATACTAAAGGCACCAACTTATTATGCTAAACTCCGGTTACAAAATCGGAAGCTTACTTAACTTATTGCTTGTATTCCAGTTTGCACTTTCATTTCTAGGTGTAGATACACATAACGTTTTAGTGGGAAAATTTAATAACGTTGGTGACAGATTAAAGTCGTTAACTTATGCGTTCTTGTGATTTACATCAGCTGACCCACCACAACCAAACCCCAAAAGAGCAGTGTACATATTTTCTTTGTCTTGTATCATTCATCTTTAATGCAGATAGTGAAATATTTTTGGTGCTGTTGCAGAACACCACCTGTAATTATCAGAATGAACCCCAAACATTCAACTATTAAAAACAACAAAGTACGAATGCAATAGAACATGGTGTCGCTTGACTCTCTACTCTCAATCAAACCATAGCCATAGACCTGAGTGGTTGAAAAACGCTTTACGGGACAGGGAATTTAACCCAGTTAGGTAAAAGTGATGAATAATTTTGGGGATGGGCACCGACACTAGAAACATATTTCGATCCATGATATGAAAACTCCCTTTTTTCTTTGTGTCTTTTGTCTTTTTTCTTCCCCTGAAAATCTGTTTGGTGCCAACTTACATGGCTTTATTCTTAGTTGATGAAATGGATAGACTTATTTCTCTAAAATCTAAATCTAACATAATGCACCGTTTGATGCTAATTTTGAACACCTTAGGGCCCATTTGATAACCATTTCATTTTTCATTTTTTGTGCTAGAGAAAATGAGAGTGAGGATGAGATAAACAAAAACTTGAAAATGACAATTTCAAATAGATTTCAGTTTGGCTTTTTATCACAAATGGTTCTTAATGTTTACGAAATTATCACGAATGGTCCTTGAGGTTTTTTTGTGACATTAATATAGTCCTTAACATTAGGGCTTTTTATCACAAATAATCCATGCCGTTAGAAATTCTGTTAAGAGTCTGATGTGAAAGATAAGTGGAGCCCATATGTCCAATCACATAGTGACATGTGGATTAAATAAATAAATTGTTATGAAAATTCATTTAGCCTCTCTCTCTCTCTCTCTTTCCCTCTGCCCTCTCTCCTCCCTGTGCTCTCCCTCTCCCTTTCCCTCTGTTTCAATTTGCAGACAGCATTGTGGTCCCATTGAACATGCTATTACAATTCAGGTTGATAAAAACAAATAAACAAATAAAACCCTAAGAAACTTCAGAGTACGCGAATCAATTTTATCTTGATATAGAAATGATATGTAGAAAAAATTGAGAGGAAACTAGCTGAAGGGCTCATAGACTCTTTGTATGGAAGGAGGATTATAAATGCCTATTCTATAATCATAAAATCTGTTCCTAGAAAAGGTTATGGTTCTTGAATGCCTAGTTTAGTCATCTCCCATGCTAGAGAAGCTAAAGTGGTATTGAAAGGGTTTCCCTCCTATGATCCTAAGTTCCATATCTAAATGGAAAACTGTGGCTCAGGAACATTGACCATTTCTAGGAGCAGACTTTTTTTATGAAAATCCATTTAGCCTCTCTCTCTCTTTCCCTCTGCCCGCGCTCCTCCCTGTGCTCTCCCTCTGTTTTTTTCTTGCCTCTACACCCAGATCAACCCATGCCCACCCGCAACCCACCACAAAGATATAGTTTTATAACTATATATTTTCTCTACCACTGTATATCTTTCTTTTTTTGTGGGTGGCAATGGCCAAGAAAAAAACAGAGCGAGAAGGAGAGGACATGGAGGAGAGAGGGAGAGAGGGGGCAGAGGAAAAAACAAAGGTAGAAGGAGAGGACAGGGAGAAGAAAGGGAGAGCAGAGGGGGGTACCTGGTGGAAAGTAAGGGCAAAGGGGAAAAGAGACGAAATAGAGGAAGGGGGATGAAAAGTTGCAGAAAAAAAAAAGGAATTTTCATTAAAAAAATTATTTATTATTTTTTTTTCATCCACATGTCACAATGTAATTGGATATGCAGGCTCTACTTATCTTCCACGTCACACTTAACAGAATTTCTAATGGCAGAGACTATTTATGATAAAAAAAACCGTAATGTTAAGGACTGTTAATGTCACAAAAAAACCTCAGGGACCATTCGTGATAATTTTGTAAACGTCAAGGACCATTTGTGATAAAAAGCCTTTTAGTTTTTAGTTTTTATTTTCACTTTTGTTACTCCTCCCTCCCATCATCTCCACTCTATTTTTCACTCCCATTCTCCATCTTTTTCCTCTATACTCTAGCACAAAATATAAAAACTAAAAACTAAAATTGAAATGTTTATCAAATGAGCCCTAATTATGTAAATAAGAAGAATGGAAAAGTTATATCAGATTCACATCAAAGTCACAACCACATTGACGTGTAGCCAAGCTGCATGCAGAATGCAGAGCTAAAATGTGATATAAAGTCATGACAACCAAATTGACATCAAGCTCGAAGCTCTTGGAATTTTGGTGGTTGCATTGTCACCATGTTAGAGGATGCAATGAACTGAAGGGTTGCTGCCAGCTAATTTCAACTCTCCCATAGGCTGCAGTGACTTTAGGGTTTGATTTGGAGCAGTTGGTTTTTAGTTTTATTTTGGTTTGATACATAGGCAAACATAACTCATTAAAAATACAAAAAGTAAAATTTATGCGCACAGGTTAAAGAATGATTGGCATGTAAGTACAGTTTGCTAGTTCGAAGGAAAAGATCCAAGAATTTTCCCTTTCCTTCTGGTTTTGGATAATGAATGAGTGCACTAATGATTAATTTGTAGGCCCTTTTGGACTCATGGTGCGTGAGAGTAAAAGGGCACCTAAATCTAATGCTTTCATTTCATCAAATGGTGTGAGTCAGCCAGCTGGTTGGTTGCATGACGTGTATGGCGCAAATAGTTTTCATTAATGCCAGGAATATGTAACTCTCGGTGAAGTAAAACTTCTCTATTCCCGTTTCATTGCCCCTTTTTCTCTATATCTATTCTCCTTGCAACTTTTGGTGAATAAAAACTTCCCTGCCTCCGTTTCATTGCTCTCCTCATGTCACCTATAGGAGGAGAAAAGAGACATAAAAAGAAGTGCAATGAAACGGGAATATGGAAATATTTCTTGTCTTTGTGGCCCTCGTTTGCTGCTTCACATTGATTTTTGACAGGACTTCTAGTTGACCCAAGCTTTATCTTGGGCTCAACTTTAGGGGCCTAAGCCCATAAAATGTTTGCGTTACACTACATATTTATGGCACAACCCAATATTCTCAGAAAGGGAAAAAGAAGCCGAATCCAATAAAAGTCATTGCTTTGGCAACTACATTGGTGGAGGCACAGCGTTATAGCAATGCCCAGTATAAAAGTCCCAAGAAACTATCACGTACCGTTTCTATTCAAACCGAAGGTCATACCCGGTTCTATCGAGGACCCCATCAAGCTTTTGAAAAAGGCAGCTGATACTAAGAACCTACGGTTAGGCAAAACAGTCCATGCCCATCTCATCATTTCCAGTGAAACTTCTAAATTCCTTGACATATTTCATGCTAACTCTCTCATCAACTTATATGCAAAATGTGACCGAATTACAACTGCCCGCCATTTGTTTGAATATATGCCCAAGAGAAATGTGGTATCTTGGACTGCCTTGATGGCTGGCTATTTACATAAAGGGCTGGCCTTGGAAGTTCTTGGCTTGTTCAAGACTATGGTATCTGTGGATAATTTGTGCCCGAATGAATTTGTTTTTGCGACTGTTCTTTCTTCTTGTTCTGGCAGTGGGAGAGTTGAAGAGGGAAAGCAGTGCCATGGCTATGTATTGAAGTCTGGATTGTTGTCTTATCAGTATGTTAAGAATGCACTAGTTCACATGTATTCAAGTTGTTCAGAAGTGGAAGCGGCTATGAGGGTTCTGAACACTGTGCCAGGTGATGATATTCTTTCGTATAATTCGGTTGTAAATGGGCTCTTAGAACATGGGCATGTGAAGGAAGCAATGGATATTTTGGATATGATGATAGGTCAGTGCAAGGCTTGGGACAATGTTACATATATTACCATTTTTGGCGTTTGTGCCCATCTTAAAGATTTGATATTGGGTCTGCAAGTTCACAGCCAACTGTTGAAGACAGATATCGACTGTGATGTCTTTCTAAGTAGTGCAATGATTGACATGTATGGGAAATGTGGTAAGGTTTTGAATGCATTGAAAGTTTTTGATGGCTTGCAAACTCAGAACATAGTCTCCTGGACTGCAATCATGGCCGCTTATTTCCAAAATGGGTACTTTGAGGAAGCATTAGGTCTATTGTCACAGATGGAATTTGAAGATATTCTTCCAAATGAATATACTTTTGCTGTCTTGCTTAACTCATGTGCAGGTTTGTCTGCACTAAGACATGGAGATCTATTGCATGCCAGTGTTGAGAAGTCGGGTTTCAAAGACCATGCCATTGTGGGGAATGCTTTGGTCAATATGTATTCAAAGTGTGGCAACATTCAAGCAGCAAATGACGTGTTCTTGGATATGACATCTCGAGACGCTGTTACCTGGAATGCAATGATATCTGGATTTTCCCATCATGGGCTTGGTAAGGAAGCGCTGAATGTGTTTCAAGATATGTTGGAAGCAGGAGAGCGTCCTAACAATATTACTTTTGTTGGTGTTCTCTCGGCTTGTGCTCATTTGGGTCTGGTGCAAGAAGGATTCTACTATTTGAACCAGCTAATGAAACAGATTGGCATTGAACCCGGACTAGAGCATCATACTTGTATTGTAGGGCTCCTCAGTAGGGCTGGACAACTTGATCAAGCTGAGAAATATATGAGGACTATGCCAGTCAAGTGGGACATTGTTGCCTGGCGAAGTTTGCTCAATGCTTGTCATGTACATAAAAGTTATGGCTTAGGTAAGCGAGTAGCAGAGGTTGTTGTGCAAATGGACCCTAATGATGTGGGAACATATACACTATTGTCAAATATGTATGCCAAGGCAAAGAGGTGGGATCGAGTTGTGCAGATCCGGAAATTGATGAGGGAAAAGAATATCAAGAAAGAACCTGGGGTGAGCTGGGTAGAGATAAGAAATACTACCCATATCTTTGTTTCGGATGATAACATACACCCAGAGTCCAGTCAGATACATGAAAAAGTTGGGGAATTGTTGGCAAAGATTAAACTATTGGGATACGTGCCAGATATTGCTGCAGTGCTACATGATGTGGAGGATGAGCAAAAGGAAGATTATCTTAGTTATCACAGCGAGAAGCTTGCAATAGCATACGCCCTCATGAAAACACCTACAGAAGCGCCCATTCGTGTTATTAAGAACCTCAGGATATGTGATGATTGCCATGCTGCTGTGAAACTTATTTCAAAGGTCACAAACAGGTTGATAATTGTTAGAGATGCCAATCGATTCCATCAATTTCAGGATGGTAAATGCTCTTGTGCAGATTACTGGTGATAATGATGACAGTTTTAATAAAGTGGATTTCCAGAGAAGGAACTTACATCTTATGGGTCATAGCCGTATAAGCCTCCATGGCAGCCATGCTGAGCATGCTGTGCAGAGGTTCATGCTGTGTAAGTATATTAAACAGCTTATCATACTCCTATTTCAGTTTTTGTTGATGGTTAAGTGGACTTTGAATGAGTTTCTACCTTTCAGGTTAAGACATCCAGCAGAGAGGCTTTATTTAATCACCTGATTTTGCTCCTAGAGTCCAATGCAAAATCAAGTCTAATGTAAAGGCAGTTTCAGAATATAGAGCGGGGACTAATTTTTCTTCACTCTACTAACTATCGATCAAACTTGGAGCTCAGCTACTTTGTTGTATTTTATTGCCTGTCAGCTTATGTTGTATACTCTAGTCTATCAAGACAGCATCAAAGTTTCTTGTATAGCAGCTCTCAGAAGTTGGTTCTTTTGTTCTTTTTGATATGGTATCTGATGATGTACGTCAACTTTTCTCAGCTAGTAATACAGTATGGGCATGCTTGATTTAGCATGTTTAAAATTCATTTTTCTGTATTGAAGCGTGTTTCTTTGGAAAGACTGGATATAACTGTTCCTCAGCCAGCTGTAAAGAAATCATTCACTTAATTGCAGGATTTGCTTTCTTTTTAATGCAAGATAATTTCAAATAGTAGTAGCGGGGTAATATCTCCAGTGCAATTTTTTGAGTAGTTACATTTGAGGGCGTTCCTCAAACGAAAAAATATATTTGTAATGAAACATACAGAGAGACCAAGTAGTCTGTTGAAACTACTGGATAGAAAATGGCTGAAGCTAACAGGGTGGGAAGGTAGTTTGGCGTCCAGTATTTGGTTCCATTTTTTAGGAGAGAATAAGATATGCATTCAAATTTGTCATTAGTAATTATTGTGAGAAGACGTCTTAAAAGACAAAACAGAAATGCATGATAGAAGAAAAAAATGAATCAGCAAAAGCTGGCCTCCATGAACTTCACGAATTCACTGAACTCTATCCTTCCATCTCTGTTTTCGTCGAATGTCCTGATCATTTTTTGGCAGTCTTCTAGCTTTGATCCTTCCTTTAAGCCCAATATACAGAGAACTCTCTGCAACTCCCTTGCATCGATAAACCCATCTCTGTTCTCATCAAACACATCAAAAGCTTCCTTTACTTCCCCCAAGCTTGGCTCCTTCTCATCAAACAGCCCTGCAAGTTCATTGGAACTGAACGACTCTGGTAGTTCCTCACTTTCTGGTCTGCAAAAAATTCCCAAGTTTCCCATCACCATCTTCACATCATCTCTGCTCAAGTTTTCATCATCTTTCCTTTTGCAGATCAGCTCCGGCTTCCTCAACTCAGAATCCAAGTTCTTCACATCCAAAATCTTTGAGTTGCCACAGTTTTGTTGGGATTGGAGAGTAGACTGAAATCTCGAAAATAACTTCTGAGTGCTACTAGAAATTGTGTGTAAAAAGATTGCATCAAGCAAAAGAAATAGTGAGGATGTATTGTAGTTAGTTGATGATGATGTCTTCTCCATTGTAATAGAGTAGTAGAGGCTGAACATGAATGTTGATATTTCCACTAAGAAGCCAAGTTAGAATTCTCAAGTCTATGCTATGTGATAGAGCTGGAAGAGATGAAAGAATGTTTTTACATTAAAGGTTTGATGTATGGAGAGATGAGGGTGGTGTTTTATATAGGCCAAGATTTAGTCTTGTATTTGAAGCCACCAAACTGGTCAAGCCCCAAAGTTGGGGAAGGTGCTTGTGAACTGCCTGTGCCTGCCACAGGTCTTTAGGAGAAATGGTTGAAAGTAGATGAAGAAATGGTCACCACCTGAACCATTTCTTAGAATCTTAAGAGGAAGTTTCATTGTTTTGTTGGAGGAAATGTGGTGGGGTCAGGCTGGCCTGCCTTTCCCTGGCTCTTTCATTTTGGTTTATGTGGAAATTGTGCTGGGAATCTGCCGGCTGCTGACTGCTTAAAAATCAATGAAAAACAAAACAAAAAGAAAAAAAAGATCTGAAAGTGAGTTTCGTAGAAAGTAAGATTTGATAGTGGGGCTGCTCTTCTTGGCCCACTATTGCAATTCATTTCCCATGCACTGATTTTTTTCATATTATTGTATGCATTGCCAAAGTGGGCATAGTCTTTTTCTGCATATTTTATGTCTGTCTGCTGGGGAAAGCAAATATATATGCTAACAGTCAATTGTGGACTTTTTAGGAAAATTCCAAGTTGCCTAATTCTTTAGCCAAGCTTCTTTATTTGCTTGGTAAAAGCTGAGGAAATTGTCATTGAGTGTACCCCTGAGATTTGAAGTTTCAAGCCTTTCCCATATTGGTCGTTCCACATTCCACACACGTTATTGATTCTTGCGTGCGAGAAGGGTTGTCCAGTAGTTGTAAACTTACACGTAGGGTAGGGTTGTGTTTGTTTAAGCCGCCTTTTCATGATGGGCCTAGGCCTGGCCCACTAGTTGCATTGGGTTCCTACAGAAAGTCCATAAACACTCGATGATATTATCATGGGCCTTGAAAGCCCAAACCCAATCACAAACAAATAAGCAAACTCTTTCCGCTCCGGCAATTTTCAAGCCCATTTTGTCAAATAATTATACTCATAGGATTGGCAGATCATCCAAACACAAATGTAGCTAGTAGCCATAACATATCATAGATACGCAAAGAAGTGTGTATGTTCTCTTGCAACTAAAGTCATTCGATCTCCATCCCGTACATAAGGGTAGTTTAGAATATCGTTTTGTCAAAAACCACCTCTTCTTTTTGAAGTGTTGGATCCACCCTTAAAACCAAAAGATTGCGGAATTTGTCTGCGAAGATTTTACAGTTTTGATATTCAAGTTCAAATTCAAGTGGTCAGCTCCAAGATCATTGTCGATGGAAAAGCCAAAGGGTGTAAATAACACTTTTGAATGAAATCATGAACAAATTACTTTTGCTTTATAGCATTTCTCTTTTGTAGACAGATTCTGCTAAGTGTAGGCCCTGTTTTTCGATCAGGTAGGGTCGTGCACACTTCTTATTATTTCTTTATCACACCTCAAACTCAAAGTAAATGGTGCCCATGTTGTCAAATATCCTCGTTATGGGTCCCTTCCATGTGGCAAGGTCAACTATTTTTATATTGTCGATCACGTTGAGGCCATTCATCATTATCAGCATGGAAGGTAAAATTGAATCATTGTTCAAATACACTACAAGTAGCAGTTTCAACCAGAAAGAGCTTTACTTCAATCAAATTTCAATTAGCTTCAAATGCCGTTGTAGGTAAAATAAGCTAGTAACTCACAAAACCAGGTATTTAAAGAACATCTGACATATAATTCTATGCAACTCACAAAAAACATATTGTCATAATGCTGAAAAAAAAAATTTGATAATCAGTAATTACCATTCAGAACTACAATATTAGAGAGAGAGAGAGAGAGAGAGAGAGAGAGAGAGAGAGAGAGAGAAATGCAACATAAATACACTGGACGAAGAACCTGAACTAAAAATGCTTCATATTTCACCATAAAGGTGAAAGTAAGAAAGTGAAATGAAAACCGACATGACTTTATTTCCTTGCAGCAAATTGGTCATTTTAGTTGGGCTGCGGAGGAGGGGTAAAGATATACCCTGTTCTGGGGTTAACATTTGGCTCTGGATCTGCATAATCCATCACTGTGATCATTTTCCTGGGTTTTCCATGCGTCTCCTGGTAAACGAACAGAAAATTGATTACTGGGCCACAAAAAGAAAAGAAGAAAAAAAAAAACCCAACGCAACTGAAGGGAAAAAGAATATACCTTTGACACTAGAACTGAAAAATCTTCAAGATCAATAGTCCCCATCAGGTTTCTCCCAAATCCTTAAAGAAAGAAACAAATAAATCAAAGTCAGAATTGGTTATTGGGAATTCAAAAACAGGAAATGGTGCAATAAAACAGTAGTGATGTTACAGTGTAATGCTTACCATGAGAGAAACAGAGAGCCAGAAGGCAAGAAACTATGAAAAATCTTAAAAACCAAGGACGACCCATAATTTCCTACACAATTATGGGAAACGGGTAGCTCTCAGAATCTGAATATGAGGTGGGGTTTGATGAGATTTGAGAGCTGCTGAAAGGCTGGGACTTTTGAGTTTCTAGGAAACCGCCTTCCTTAAGCTTCAGATCTGATAACAAGTTAAATGGCGTAATTATAAGTTGAAAACAAAACAGATTTTGCTGTAAAGATAAGAGCCGAAGGCCCCGGATAAAAGTGTAAAGAGTTGATTGTTTCAAGAATCCTATTTATACTCAACCACCTGACACCAGATTATATATAGCGCCTGAAAAAAGAAGAGGAAAATATCAGATTTTATAGAGAGGATACTTTCAGTGATGCAGATAAGAGAAAATTCAATATCCCCCAACTGTTACCCATTACACTTTTTTTTCTCTACTCTTCTTAATAATAATAATAATCTATATATATAAAGCAAAAGGCAGAGAATGGTGAAACATTCAAAATACCAGAAAATATCCTTGGTTAATGTAAATATTAAGAATAGAAATTATTAATTAAACGAGGATAATATGGTAAATTCACACTTTTTCATATTTAAAAAAATCAAAATTAAAAGAAAAATCAGATAATGGCCTATTTTTATGAAACACAACTACCCATTATCTTTTTTAATTTTAAAATAAATTTTTATTTTTTTAAAAAAAAATCTCTCACAGGCGCGTAAGTGCGGATAATAATAATCATAATAAGCCAAATGCTTTTATCAATAAAAATAAAAAATTCTTTTTCTAATTGGAATTATATTTTCCTAATCAATGGGATCTTCTAATTGCCTTTTATGCATGTTAGTGGTTTTGAACTCTTGTTTAGAGACTGTTCAATTATTATTCATCCCTCATTAAAGTTGACTTTTTTTTTTTTGCTTCGAGGTAAAGCTAGTGAAGAAAGTGTAGATTAATTTATGTATTTTCAAGTTGTATAAATGGTTCAATTATATCGATATTATCTCAATATGATGTCGATCGATATTGTTATTGTGTTAAGCATTTTCCAAATAAGCAATAGTTAAAAACAGAGCTGATAATGACTACCACAATGTAGTGATTGCATGTGGATTAATTATGGGTCAATTTAGTTCACACGTGTTAGCGCACACTAATGCTGCCTGCCTTCCAAAATTTTAAACTCTCCAGCTCAGTTGCCAAGGTTTCTTCTTTGTTCTTTTAAGCCTTTCACTTTCTTTAATCTGCCTAACAAACAAACAAATGGTGTATAAAAAAGGTGGAAGCCAAGCCATTGGTTTTCTCACTAATAAAAACTCTGTATTTCTTGCTTTTCAGGCAAAGTGAAGCTTCCCGTTCCCTCTGATGAACCTGTCACGTGCTATTTCTTTATTCCTTCCATTTCAGAAAAAAGCCTGGGTACATAATGGACCTTCTATATTTGTCTAGCCATTATTTTGCCAGTTCTTCTGTTTTATTGTTTGATAATCAGTCAGTTCCACTGTTGACTAGAAAGTCACAGATAGTTACAATTTCGAATTTCCTCATTGATCTGATTTGTTTTGCCCACTGAATACTGAAAGGAGACAGAAGGGCGTGGAGAGCATGAATGATTAGGGAAGCCTAATTACACCATGGGAGGGAACAGCAAAAGAGAACTTCTCTTTTAATTATTACTAATGGATGACAGTTAATATGCACTCTCTCCCTCTCTCTCTCTCTATATATATATATATATATATATATATATATATATATATATGTATTAGCTTAATGACTTGGTTGGAAAGAAACCGGGAACCCTAAATTACTTGCAGATGGGTTGACCTTTTAAGTCTCAAATCCCAATGATCTACTGTAAAGCTAACCCTAATTTAATAATGTGAAAATTTGTCAAACCAAATCTGTTTTTTTCAGAGAAAATGATGAAATCGATATTGGGTTTTGGTTCTCTTTGTTAATTATAGTAGGAGCCTATTAATTTTGATAAAGGTTATGGTGCAATTTGACATTAATTATTTATTTCGAATACGAGTGATAGTCTAAACTACGGCCAGAAAATATTATTTATTTCAGATATATATGAAGTGGCTATTATATTGGTTCCCCTAGTTCTCTTGCATACCGAGTTTGGACTGATCACAAAGTTTTCCAATTAAAAAGAAAGAAATCCTACAGGGTTTCGGAACTAGTTTAGCATCAGATTAGGAGAACCACAACATTGGAGATTCATTATGTTTGAATTTGATTAAAGGGCTTCTTCACAAGGACCAATCAAAACCATGCAATGCATCAAATTATTGAGAGGCCAGAATTTAACGATGCATACCTTCAATAAACTCCACCGACTGTCTAGTTGGGTTTGTATTGGCTCAAATTGACCCCCCAACTTCAAGCAGATTTCCCTTTATGCAATTAATAAAATGACAAGACAAAATCCAGGAAAGAGAGGAACAAAAGAGGCTCCATGGCTTCTTCACATGCATTGGAATTTGGGCCCCGAGACCAGCCAACTCGAGCCATCCAAAACTGGTGGCCAACATTTCTCCAATAGAAATACCACAAAGTATCGTATCACTCGGATTTTGGTACATGATCTTAATGTCTTTTACTGCCTAATCAATAAAACGTGACAAAAATTACTTCCCAAGTACAAATCCAACAATATGGTTTGTTAGTTATTCATGAAATCTGCTTTCCTTTGCTTTTCTATATTGCATTCAAAGATGGAACTTCTTTTGCTGATGGCAATGGCATCAAAAGATGAACATGAAAAAAGCAACACAAAGGAAAAAGCAACCATTAATAAATGGAAAAAGGAAAGGCCCAAACTGTATGATCAACTTTCCAGCTTTTACTGCTTTTTGGTTTGAATTCTGTCGAATGGAAAGTGAAATGTACTTGCTCTTTCGTGCTTCAATTGATGTCCATCTACAGACGTGGTGGTGGGTCTACAGTGTTTTCCATGCTTATAAAGCTTGAAAAATAATCCAAATCAGAAATCAGTAGCCACAGGAACTTGACTATACCTTAGTAAGAGTAGCATATCAACTGTGGTATTTAAGTGGACATTAGACCAAAAGACTCAATCTTTAATTGAAAAAGCACAAATGAACAGAAAGTGTCATTTGAATCCCCAAGTTATTTAAGTACATCTGGGATTTTGCTACACAAACCTCAACTCTTCTAGTTCTCAATTTTACATGTAAATATATGTACAAGAACTCAGCAAACCATCTAACTGAAAACAAAATGCAAATATTCATAATAGCACTCGGAGGGGAAAAATCAGTGGCTATTCCAGCTAAAGTAAGATGGCTCAGCTCCTAAGAGAAAAAGGATGGACAATCCTCTCGTCTTCCTCTATTGACAGCTTTGACATTTGATTTTGCGGCTGAGGCTGGTTAATCAACAAGAACTCTGGGATTAGAAAGGTGGTGTCGCATTGTATGGAGCAGTTGAGCATTCCTGAATTGTATGCACCACTTGAAACAAACTACAAATTTGTAAGCTACCAATTTTATGAGCTCTCTTGGAAATTGAGTGACCTAGATAATGCTGCTGGATTGGCTTGTAAGACCGGAGAAGCTTCGGTCAGGTGATTCTTTTGATCACCCTTTGGTTGGAAGGCCTTAAAGAGTCCCCCGCCGCTAAGTGAATCAGCCTTATCATTCTTAATCCCCAGTGTTGCCCATATAGAGCTTCTTGCAGCTTCTCCCGGGTCATCAATCCTCAATGTCTTTGGAATCCAAAGGCATCTCTCAGCACTCTTTTCTTTTGGTGCCTCCTCTTCCTCAGAGTTATTTTGTTTCACAGTGCTCTCATCCCTCGAATGTTTTCCCAAGGTTGGAGAGTTAGGACCAGAACTTGGAGCAGAGTGGTTTGGAGATGATGGCAGTGGAAGCCAAGGGATATTCCAAGCGCCTTGCACAGCACAACCCCAATAAGCTGCTGCAGGGTAGTAGGGCATAGGAAAACCTGGAGGGCAGAAAGCAGGTGGTGTTACTGGAGAGCTCCATTGGGCAGAGTTCCAGGGGTACGGCCAAGGCGCCCCAGGAAAGCATGGTATTTGTGGTGGGAAGCCCTGATAACTCTGCATAACCTGCTCTTGTGACCCAGTTTTGCATGCCTCATCCTTTGAATTTGAATCTGTCACTGTAGATCTATTCGAATGATCATCTCCATTTACTCCACTTCCATAAGAAGCTGGAATCCTTAATCCTTCAGGTTTCTGAAATCCATTATGCGTACCGTTCTGTATATTTTTATCAGCAAGGTGAAGGACAGAAGCCATTGATTCGCAAAGGGGCGCATCCCCGCAAAATGTTAGGACAGTACCATTAGATTTTACTGAAGGATGGTGAACTCCATTCAGAACATCAGTTTGAGCATTCGGCAAAGCTTCAGAGACAGTTATGTGGCGATAGTGAGAAGCAGAATTCTTATTCTTACGACGTCCCGCACCCACAGGCACATTCCTCATGGTCCCACCAGCTGTCCAATATCTCTGGCAGTTCTTGCAGAAGTGTCGGGGTTGGTTGACGTTGTAATTATTGTAGTAACAGAACTTGGTATCCATGCTATTACAGCGGGGGCATGGAAGTATTTTATCTGGTTTCTTCAGGGTCTTTTCTTGTGAATTACTTGTCTCACTCTGTTCTTCTTCAGTCTTCAAATCTTTTACTGTAGCATTCTCCTTCTCAACAGGTGATTTAGGGTTCACACCTACTCTGGATGCTGCATCTGGATTTGTTACCTCTTCCGAAGATAAAGGTGGGATTCCATCTTCCTGTTTAGTCTGCATTGGTTTTTCTCCCAAAGTGTCCTGAATTGACCAAAAATTTAATTGGGAATATGAGTTTCAAAACTAAGTACTGTTAAGATATGATACCCCAATAAAAAGATTATTGCATTCATACTTATGTTTTTTATGTTATTACAAGATAAAAAACTATACTCTTACTGCTGAACCGACTGAAACAATTACAGTTAGACTACCTATTGCAATGGCAAATAAAAAAAAAAAAGACTACATATTGCATGGCTATGTTAAAAATCAAATTCCAAGGCTTAGGAAAGAACACACCAGAAAGGTTCCCCAGGACTTGCCTTTCCATATGATATTAAACCTTTTTAATTTTATTTTTTGACACAATGGTCTCATCGCCTTCATTTCAAAGCAGTTTCAATGAATTTGGAGATGAGGGGTTAATGGCATCTTTAGAGAAACATTTAGATTTGAAGTACTATTATCTATAATACGAGGGAAAGGAATAAGAACCAATATCTTGTAAACATGTAGAGCCTAAATGAATGCGGCCAAACAAAGGGAGGACTCAACCATCAAAAGCAGTAGCAGCTTTCTTTAAAAATCTGTGTAGCACGTTCAAAGATCT